CACGAAAATCATGCAATTATCTTAAAAATTGTGGCCTAATATAGTCTAACATTGTTCACTCATGAAAATGTATTTCCTATAATCTGATAAGCGGAGAACGGCTGCGATTTTCGCTGTGCAAGACCTCTAGAGGAGAGTAACATAATCGTAAAAGCTGATTTGATAGAATACTTCATATGTTTTCGATTCTGTTTCTTCTGAAAATTCTTGCTTTTGCATTGGAGAATTATGGATGTTAAGCTAACATGTTAATTCGGACGTCCTTGGTACTGTCCTTAATTCATTGATTCTTTGAAGATTGTTAGTCTTGTTATAGTGCACTATGGGATATCGAAACTGGACAACAATGTACAGCTTTCACTGGTCATACTGGAGATGTTATGTCTTTGAGTCTTGCTCCGGACATGCGCACATTCATCTCTGGAGCTTGTGATGCCAGTGCTAAGGTGGTTATCTCAATTAATAAAAACTTTGCAAATACCATTACAAATTTATCATTGTCTAATCTTAGCTATGGGACATAAGAGATGGCATGTGCAAACAGACGTTCCCAGGTCACGAGTCTGACATCAACGCTGTTGCTGTATGTGCATTTTTTATACAAAGCTTTATCTCCGTAAACCACGTGTTTAGTTCTTTCCCTCTGGTTATGCCTTTGCTACCGGATCTGATGACGCCACTTGTCGTCTATTTGATATTCGTGCCGATCAGGAACTAGCCATGTATTCCCATGATAATATCATATGCGGTAGGTTGTCTTTTTTTCGCATGATTGCTTTGGTTGCTAGACGTTTCTTGTTTAATTGTAAATGTTGTTTCTGCATTCTGTATGATTGCTATGATAAAAATGCAGGTATCACAAGTGTGGCGTTCTCAAAATCAGGGCGACTGTTATTCGCAGGCTATGACGATTTTAACTGTAATGTGTGGGACTCAATGAGACAAGAAAGAGCAGGTGAGCATTACTCCACTCTTATCGTTGTTGCACTTTCTCTAGATTTCCAGAAATAGCTTCGTTTCTATTTTTGCTAATTTTGTTCTCTGCACCAGTATCAATTCATTGTGCATGCTTCTGGATGCGCTCCTTTTTTTT